CAAGAAAAAATTTATAATACTATTTTGTACTTTCCTCAAATAAAGATATTATCTGCTTAAAAAGGCATTCATTCTAAAATAAATATGCGGATATCATCACGTGTTGTATTAATTTTTTCATAATAATACCATCGATGTGGGTACCAAATAAATGAACTTGGAGTGTAGAATGGAACAAGCTAAGTTTGTTAATTTTAAATTAATTATGGTAGACATTCCCACATGGTAGATTGATTTTTCTCTTAACAATATCTTGTAGTGAAGTAAAAGATGAAAAATAAATTTTTTCCCATTTAGTTTTTTATGACAATAAATAACCGCATGGGGCGTCAAATACTTGAATAGTGTTGGTATGCAAAATTGGGTCCCAGCCAAATATAACTTTCTTACTTTTTTATATTTGTTATCAAACCACTGAACGCTCTATTCTTTGCAAATGGCTGCCAGTGGGTTTAAGCGCTTACTGGCGGAATGTTACAATGTACCTAACCGCTAAGACGAAGAGCATTCTATTGATGTTCGTGTTCACGTTGTTTAGTTAACATATTCTGCAATTTCTGCCTTAATGAACGTGAATTATAACTTACACGGTAATAAGAGAGGGTAATATTTCTAATCACTAATTTACTTGGTATATGCTCACCTATACCACACCTATACTGTAGTTTAGGAGCTTAAGCCTAATTAAATAGAGGATAGCTCAAATATATAAAATCAAATCAAATACAAAAATAATAAGTTGTTTAATTTTTACTTCAAGTTTAGAACATACATAAAAAATATCAGTAACGTGTCTATAAGAAAGGGAATTCTGCTATGTGGTGCTTTTCAGTCTTACAATAAGTTTGGAGCTTAACTATTAGAGCGTACGCTTAATTTGTTTAAGCAATCGGTGCTAAAGCGTTTTATTTCATCTGTAACTTTAGATCGCTATGTAAAAAGTGATTATTCAAATGTCAATCTTGCAATATGCTAAATCTGTAAGCTCTCAAGGTGTATCCAACTATCGACCTACGGACTTGCTTATTATTAGATCTACTTTTAAGTGCCACTTAAAAAGAATCGAATGCTATTGCTGCGCTATATAGTTCGGAAGGCATGGAGGGTTTTAAAGCTTTGTCTCAAGGACACTCTACAGACGGTTACACCTAAAAGAAATACATATTTACCGAACGGGTAGATCATTACTCCTACGCCATTCTACATCCTATCCTACCTTTAGTTCCCTTAAGAAAGACGCATTGTTTATTAAACCGATCTGTTCAGAATCATTATCTGAATTGATCTAAGCCTTTCTGTCTATGTAAATTTGTGTTCAAGCCACAGGTCGCAATTTTTGAGATATTTGGATGAAATTTAATACAGTAACGTGTTTTCCCCTATGGATGAAGGCTATTGAAAATGCTTCGGATCGGTCCACTTTTTCGACCACTTCCCATATAACGCCCTGTTCTGAAAAGTCGTTATATGGCAAAAAACTGTAATTTTCAAAATTTCTCGACAAAACTAGCTAAGTAGTACTACTTCGGCATTTTGAATTGATATGAAAACTTTGGATCGGCTGGATCAATTTTTGAACGCTTTCTCATATAGCGAAAACTGAAGTTCACACAACAAAAAGGTATAATTTTCAATGCTTCACCATTAAAATTATGTCATAATAGTCATTTAACATAAAAAATTAACTGTGCCTAAATTTAGACTATTTCGTCCTTCTTTTGACCCTACCCTAATAACAATTTTCTCGAAAATTAATCCTTTTTAGAGCAGGAAAGTTTAAGTTTTAACAAGTGGTGATGGAAATTGACCTATAATATTATAGTAATTTCAATCAAATATGAATTTTTCAAAAATTTGAAACATCTACACCTACTTCTGGAGCATGCTCTATGTAGAAATTAAACTTGTATTGCATTAGCTTGCTTTTTCGACACGCTTCCCCAAAGCTACGTATATAAAAAATACGCCTTTATATAAACAAGATATAATTTTTGTGTTCTATGATAAAAATAAGAATTGTGTTAGACAATGTGGTGTAGGGTATTTAACGGTCGGCCTTGCCCGAGTATATATTCTTACTTGTTTTGATTTATTAGTTATATATAATGAAAGGAGATAACAATATAGAGAAATTTATTATAAATAATAAAAAAAATATGGATATATCCAACTAATTTCATGACCCATGCATAAATGCATATCTGAATGAAATACAAGAATTATAGGAAAAAATAAGAAAAAAAAATTTAACATAAACAATTATGGTATATAAATTTGTTTGCTGATACTTATAGCTATATACGTCGAAGAAAACTGCTGTTATTAATGATGTTATGGTCGTTGATAGTATTATGGCAGCTATTGGAACTAATCGATGTTGTTTTATGTAGCGAATATAAATTGTCCACTTAACCACTTTGGAATCCTGAATAAAAACTGCTGCTGAACACGATGTTAACAACGAGGGTGGTGATAATGAAGTTATATTAAAGTTGTAGACTGAGGCCAAATTACGATTGTTGTATTTATGAACATGTGTATGACATCTTTATGCTTTGACATTGACAATGACCTCATAACCTTAACGTAATTAGTAACGTCGTTTAGCACAATAATTACGCAGTTATTCCAAATGATAATTTATTCGTTTTGTGTTTCTCTTTTTATTATAGCGCGATTTCTTTTTTTATTGTACGACCTATGGCGATGTAGTTCTTTTTTAACAATTTTTTCTTTGCATAAACATATTTACATAAACATATTTACTGTATACAAAATTCGCAGTCAATTTTAGCACCTGTGTGTGAAATTATGTTAAGTGTTAACATGTCCATAGAACGTAAAAAAAATTGTTTAAAATAAATTATTAAGTTGTTGGTTATTTTGTTGCTTTCTTTTCTTCTCTTTAGTTTTAAAAAAAAAAAGAATATCTTTTCCTTTGGACTTTTCTGTCACTTTCTCTAAATCTTCTTTTTTTCTGTTCACCCGTAATTTTCTATTAAAATCAATTTCTTTCGACATAAATTAATTTCAGACTTTCAATCTTCTTTCTCTTTTTCTCTTTTTCTTTCTCTATAAAGTTGCTTGCATTTTTTTCCCTAAACGTGCATCCTCTTCACAAATGAAATTAGCAAACTTACTACTACACTGCTGCTTACTACAGAGTTATATCTGTAACAATTTTTACATAATACAATCGCGTATTGCAATTTGTGATTAATATTAACATTTTAGACTGATATCTGTGTAATGTTTCCATTTGAAGAAGTATTAAATAAAAGTTATAATTGTTTCATAAAATTTCTTTTCTTTTTTATGTTTTACCGTTGATATTGCTTAAATTTGGTCGGCATTACAGTGAATTGTAAATCTACAATACCGTAGACTTTAGAAGAATTATTTACAGAAAATGATGTACAAAGTTAAACAAACTTATCTATAACGATTACAGATTTATCATTCCATAATATTTCACTACACTGAGTACACCAACGCAATTAACTTTTTTCCCATTGAGGGCCCCGTTCAATTCTATTCGCCTCCAGCAAATCCATTGGTTATAAACCTCTAAAATAGTAACGAATTGAAAAGTTTTGCTCTAATGATTTCCTTAAGCAATTGCACGCAGAACTTTCATTTTTATTTGCTAACAAAGAATTTTTGTTAATCGTCAACTGCATTCTATGAGGTCGGCGGTATAAAGCATCGAAAATTTAACAATTTCGAATTATAATCAACGAAACAGTTTCAAAATATGTAAAAACTGTAATAATAGAGACAAAGATAGTAAGGTATACAAATTGAAGACGCGAGGCAATCAATGATGTTTTTAAGTGTGCAAAGATCGATACTGAAAGGTAAATCTGAATTTAATTGATTGAAACAAACAACGTTATTATTATCGTAAAATAAAGATATCGTATCGTAAAAAATAAAATAAATAAGTTGCGCATTTTTCTTTTTTTTACTTCAGTTTTTCGCTACATTTGCGTGTTTAGAACTGAATTATATATGTAGGACAAGTTTTTAATTTCAATTTCTAAGACTTTGGAAATGCCTATGAAGATGAGCAAATAAACATAACCGAATCGAATTAAGAACTAATGTTAGCATACACTTTATATGTTTTTAAAAGGAAAGAAGAAATTTACATTCGTCTTTAGCCGAATTTGGAACGCCTATGATCCACTTCCTTCGTTGATAATTATGAGAACTCATAAAGAATGGTGAAATATGACGCTCATATTCTTCAACCAATTGCAATCTCAAAAATCTGTAAGTCGTACACAACAGTGTAAGACGGACAGAGACACGTTTAAATCAATCCAGAAAGTGATACTGAATCGGCAGATATAAAACATGTCGCTGCGTCATATTCATATTCATCAAAATAGCTCAAAAATTGCATCTTGTAGGTGGAACATAACAGAACAAGATGAACAGACGGACAGACAAGCTTAGATATAATCGCAATTCTCAAGTCCTGAGCGTTGCATAAATCCGTCTAAGTTAAACACAAGAATACATGGACAGACAAGCTTGAATCGATCCAGAAAGTGATTCTATCTCAAGTCCTTCTGGATGTTGCATACATCTGCGTACACCTAATGAGTCTTTGTACCACAAGTGGTGCAAAATACAATAATGGACATTAATTTAAGCTTTCGGATAACCAATGAAAATGTAAATAACCAACTGGTAGGTACACAGTTAACAAAATAATATACGATGCATTGATGTCAATGATGATTCAAGATAAATATAATTCTTTTGACTGGTTTTAAAGCTTAAGCTGCTTGTTGTAACGAAGTAGTTGTATTGTAACGGTTTAGACTGGTATTAAAATACATTTCTGAGCAACATAGGGCTCAAGCATTAATTAGGAATTGCTAATTAAAAGTGATTTCGGTAACTCTGGTCATACTAAACTCGATTTAAATATGGGCTATAAGGTTAAGAATTGCTAATAAAATATTGTGGAAAAAATTGTGACTAGTTTATGCATTCGTTTTCATTAACAGTTGTTACGTGACAGCGTTTAGACATATTTTGAGCAATTAGAAAAAATAAGTAAGAAAAAAAAAGAGAAACAACAAATACACCAAAAAAAAAATTAAGGAATAAGAGCCGCAATTCGCTCGAGACTGTGATAAACTCGACAGAAATATCAAGTATAAGAAAGAACGTAATTAGTTGTGAATTAATTGAAAACGGAAAAATATATTCAGTTAAAAGAAGAGGAGAACTGTTCGTACATATTGAGAAAAAGCACCGAGTATCAGTTTAAAAATTAGATAAAAGAATAGTTATATTACACGTAATTTGCAATATTGCAAAAAAAACGTATTAGGCCAAAATGTCAGTCAATCGTGCACCAAAGTCTGGATTTGCAGCCGAAGCTCAACGCAAGGTAAGTGTAAATAAAATAAAAAACATTACGCCGCATAAATAAAGCTGCAAAAAATTTAAGCAATGTCAAATATGAAGACTATTAACAAACAAAACGACTTGGCGGTTATTTAATGAGGCGAAACGAAAAATATGAATAAATAAATAAATAAATACAAGCTCAATGTGCAATAACTTTTAAATAGTAAGAAAGAAACAAGTTAGTCAGTTGTCTCTTTAGTTTTATAAAAGAAGTGATGAAGCATGGAGAGAAGCAACAGTTATTAATAGCTTCAATTAAAAAATGACGTCAGTTGCAATATAGTTATAGTAATTGGTTCTCTGTAGGAAATTGTTTAAATTCATTGATTGATTAATTCAGTACCAATAAGTAGAACATGCGTAACAGACTTATGCTCCGAAACTAGTTTGACCTCAATTAATTTTTCAAAAAATAAACTGATTACATTTTGTTAAATGTTAATGATCCAAAAGAATGTCGGTCCCCTGTTTCTTCTTCTTGCTTTAAATGTGATTACTTTTTATATTTTGTTTTCTAAATGAACTCCTTTTATGTAATTTAACCTAAACGAAGAACTAAGCATTAAATATTTGCACTTACGTGTCTGCTTTCTTTAATGTTAGGAAATATTACCTAAATAAGTATGTACGTATGCATGACTAGCTGTCTGACCAGTCAGTTTGCAGGCAGGTTTATATATGCCCATTCACAAACCTACGTATAGATATGTTTCTTAATTGCGAATTCATGGCAATGTCGATTTATTCCATTGCAAAAACATTTATAATCTTATTGAGCTTCATATTTACATTTACGAGTACGTGCCTTAAAAAATTTTTGCTACACCCTTGTGGTTATTTCTTCACTTTTTTTTTCTTTTGAGTTTTTGAGTGATTACTACCAGAAATCGGATGTGAGCACTTTTTCAAACACAGTTTGTAAATATATACATATATTTTTTTTAAATTACAGTAATCAAGCAACAGATTTGCGAAATAACGGTAATTTGGAGTACCCAATAAGTAAAAAGTTTTTATTGATCTTAGAGCGAAGAATTTTAAGTATGAGCTTGCGAACCGTGCAAATAATTATTTCGTATGTTATTAATGAAAATAATCATATATTGAATTTCTTAGTTTTTCTTGAGATTACTGCAAAATTTGATTGATATTGAAAAGGTATTTTGGGAGACGGTTTTGGCCAGGTCATCACTTATATTGATCAGACATACATGGATATCATTTCTAAATATTAAAAAACAGAGTTTACAAATTATAGTATGGAGTACACAATAGGAGAATGCGTAATTCGCCAAAAGAAGAGTTTGCCATATAAATGCATTCATTCTATGAATTCAATGATGTCATCGTTTTACTCCAAAGTATGAGTGCGTTTTGCATTTCCTTGCACGAAAATTCATTAAATATTTGAAGTATTTATTATAAACTAAATATATGCATAAGAAGTTACATACACATACCAATATATACATATTTGAATTGGTCCGTTTTCGTATTGTTTGCTATAGACCTTACCAAACAACGGGGATGTAATAGATATCTAGCGTTTAAAAATTCCTAAAACGACAGTCTATAAAGCATGATAGGCGCGGAATTCTCAAATCAATTAATTCAAATAGCTTAGGATCGTAAAACTTGAGAATTAAAATTTGAAATCAAAACGCGACTCTTATATATGCTTAGGAAAAGTGACCACATATCAAGTTTGAAAATAGGCCCTATTTGCCCATAATGAACAGAAAGTTCCTTATTTTGTAATTTGTAGCAAAAGGGCCGATGTAAAAATGGTAACGATCAATGAATTGGTGTGTTAAAGAAAATATATTTAAATCCGAATACATTAGTTTTAAGTATCAATGATTCAGACGATTCTAAAATTTTTTCTTGTTTTATAATCTTATTTGTGCGTGTATATGTATATGTGTATATATATGTATATGTGTATATATATGTATATGTGTATATATATATATGTGTATATATATATATATATATATATATATGTATGTATACGTGTATATATATATATATATATGTATATATATATATATATGTATGTGTATATAATCTTATTTGTGCGTGTATATGTATATGTGTATATATATGTATATGTGTATATATATATATGTATATGTATGTATATGTATATACATATACATATATATATATATACATATACATATATATATATATACATATACATATATATATATATACATATACATATATATATATATATACATATATATATATATATACACATATACATATATATATATATATATTTTT